CGCAGCAGCAGCAGCAGAGGCCGCAGCAGCCGCCACAGCTGCAGATCTAGCCGCAGCAGCAGCAGCAACAGCCGCTGCAGCTAAAAAGGGGCACAGCGGTAAATTTCGGGCTGAGGGGCCGCCCTTGACAGCAGCCGCAGCAGCAGCTGCTGCTGCTGCTGCCGTCCATGTTGATGCATTCAACACGAAGAGCAGCAACAACTGCAAAGTAGCGCGAGCAGCAGAAACAGCAGCAGCAGCAGCAGCAGCAGCCTGACCCATCTGCAGCAGCCTCGCGTAAAGCGTCACCAAGAAAAAGGCATCGATGGCCAACATGAGACACAACGAAGTGATAGTTGTGGGGCCTAGCAAGCTAGAAGTCGGGGACCGCACCCTCAAGTAGGCCTTGGGCCTGCAGCAGCAGCAGCAGCAGCAGCAGCACTAGCAGCCACGCGCTGCTCTGCGCCGCAGCTTCGCTGCCGCGGCAGGCGCACCGTCAGCCGCCGCCCGCCCAGCCCCGCAGCAGCAGCAGAAGAGCAGCAGGCAGCGCCCGCAGCAGCAGCAGCAGCAGCAGCAGCGCGGGGCTCACCGGGCCAAAACCATGAGGTTGCTGATGCCCAGCAAAACGCCCACGTCGACAGTGAGGTAAAGAGCCTGGCTCATGCATGCGCCTCCAGCAGCAACCAGCAGCACAACTTTGGCCAGCGACAGCAGCAAACCGTACAGCACCATGAACTTGTAAGCAGCAAGAGAAGTGGCCAGGCTGCAGCGGCCTTCCCTGCAACAGCAGCAAGCAGCAGCAGCAAGCAGCAGCAGCGAGCAGCAGCAGCTTAGCTGCGCAGCAGAGCACTTTCTACATCCAGCTGCGCTGCTGCCGCTGCGCTGCTGCCGCTGCGCTGCCTTTGTGTCTACCCTGGCTGCTTCTGCTGCTGCTTCTCTCCTTCTCTGCCTGCAGCAGCAGCAGCCACCACTCCTGCAGCAGCAGCAGCAGGGACCCCTCGGCGGGCCCCCGGACCCAAGGGAAACAGCAAAAGCCGCACTTTAGGAGACTAATGACGGCTGAGGGCCTCATGGAAGTTGAGGTGAATGGAGCAGCGATGGAAGCAGCCGACTGAACACAACGCAGCAGCAGCAGCAGCAACAGCAGCATCAGCAGCAGCAGCAAGAGCAGCACCAGCGGCAGCAGCAACAGCAGCAACAGCGGCAGCAACAACAGCATCAGCCGCAGCAGCAACAGCAGCAACTGCAGCAGCAACAACGGCAGCAGCAGCAGCAGCAGCAGCAGCAGCCGCACGCGAGAGAGGGCGAGGCCAACGTGGGCGGTGCGGAGGGCCGCAGAGTCGTTGGCGCCGTCGCCGCACATGAGCACGAAGTGACCAGTGGTCATCAGCGAGTGGACCACTCGGCTTTTGCCCTGCAGCCAGCAGCAGCAGCAGCAGCAGCAGCAGCAGCACTAGCAGCGGCAGCAGCAGCGCAGCCCCTTTCCAGCCGCCACAAAACCCTAGACACTAGACCCTAAACCCTAGGCCCTGGCCTAAACCCTAAATCCACACCCAGCACTCAGCGGCCAGCTCTAAACCCTAAACCCTAAACCCTAAACCCCAAACCCTAGGCAGACCTTCGGAGTTGTCCTGGCGAAAATGCGAATGCGCATTAAAAGCGCATCCAGCACAGAGTCCCCTGCATTTGCTGCTGCTGCCGCTGCTGCTCCCTTGAAGTTTTGCTGCTGCAGCTCTTTGCAGCAGCTTTTGCGGGGCACCAAGGGGGCCCCCTCAGCCTCAGTCTCTGCCTCTTCCTGCTGCTCCTGCTGCTCCTCCTTACTCACCTGCTGCTGCTGCTGCTGCTGCTGCTGCAGTGAAAGCAGGGGCTGACTCCTCAGAATGTCGAATGTCTCTTCCGTCACCGCCAGCTCCGGCCACCGCTGCAGCGCAGCAGCGCACCAAACCCTTGCGCCTAGCAGCCTAAACCCTAAACCCTAAACCCTAAGCCCTCAACCCTAATCCGCGGCAAGTCTGCGAACAGCGCTGCGCTGCTGCAGGGCCTAAACCCTGAAGCTAAAGGGGCGCAGCAGGATAGTCGTCCGGCGTTGCTGCTGCTGCCCCTAAAGCTCAAACCCTAAACCCTAAACCCTAAACCCTAAACCCTAACTGACCTCCGGACACCCCAAAACCTCCGCCTGCGGCACTTCGCGCCCCGACAGCAGCTCTTTCCAAACCACTTCCTGCTGCTGCCCCTCGGGGGCCCTTTGCCCAAGCAGCAGCAAAGGGGGCCCCCGGGGGCCCCCCCCCAACTCCCCCTCCAGCCAGCTGCCCGGGGCCTCACACGATGCCGGGGACACGTCGTCCGCTGCTGCTGCTGCTGCTGCTGCTGCTGCTGCTGAGCCTGCTGCTGCTGCTGCTGCTGCTGCTGAGTCGTGGGGCGCGGGCGAGAGCATGCCGCAGCGGAGAGCAACAGCAGCAGCAGTGAAGATGGAGTCTCCTGTGATGATAACGGGGCGAACTTTTCCTCCTTTTAAAAGAGAAATTGTTTCTTTTGCATCAGCTCGAAGTTCATTCGACAGCAGCACGAGACCCAGAAACTGCATGCTGCTTTCCACGCGCTCCCGCGGCAGCTGCTGCGCAGCAGCACTCGCGCTGCAGCTGCTGCACAGCGCCCGCACCTGCTGCTGCTGCTGCTGCTGCGTCGCCCCTCCGTCTGCTTCATGCTGCTGCTGCTGCTGCTCAGTTGTCTCCCCATCTTCTCCCTGCTGCTGCTGCGGCAGCTGAGCCTCTCCCTCGTCTCCCCCCTGCTCTCGCTGCTGCTGCTGCTGCTGCTGCGGCGGGTCTGCGGGCAGCTGCATGCACTTCCACGCAAGAGCCAACACATAGGCCCCCTCAGCAGCAAGACTGTCATGAGTTTCTTTGCAGCCAGGAGGCAGCGGGGAGGAGCAGATTTCTGCAATAGCATCCAAGCTGCCTTTGCAAAGGCAAAGAAGGGCTTCTTGGGGCCCCTCGGGGGCCCC